TCACGTGTTTTCACTTCGGTACGAATATAACGCGTCAGTCGTTTTGAAAAGCTCACGGAGAGGAGAGCATTGAGAGAAAAGGTGAGGATGAGGGTAATGCGGTTGGTGGATTCAAGAGGTAACCCTCAGGATAGCTAAATTATGGTCCTTTTTCTACGGAGGAAAAAAAAACTTGGCGCCTTCTCTCAGTGCTAAAAGTCTCGTGGGAATATTGCGCTGCTCTTCCTCGATATAAGAGCGGCACGTTTTTTATCAGGAAGGAACACGGAAGTTGAGAAGACGTACGCGTCAATTGTATTATCCTAGAGAACGTGTCGAATTTTTGGGTGAATGTAAAAGAAAGTACGGCTGGGAGTAAGTAGAAAAATCATCGGTGCTCAGACGTCGGAGATGCGTCAGGACTCGATTCGATAAAATTATTCTAATTTGTGGAAAACTATTTCAACCGTTTTGAATGTGAAAAATTTATTTCAAACTCTGAATGGATCGTCGGCCATTTTTTGTCTCATTAAAATGAATTTCTCGGGTGATTTTAGCGAAATAGCTCTCATCCCTCGCTAATTTGACTCTTGAAAATTCGTTGAAAATGGTGGAATTTTCCAGTGAAAAAGCAGGGAGGGATGAAAAAAATAGCTGTAAGCTGAGTCCTCACTCAGTTGGTAATTGTCAAGGCAAGAAAATAACGAGGCGCCACGTCGTCCGCCGGATGCTTTTCGTAGATGGTGCACGAAGGTCCCACGCGGTCTCGTTTGAGGTTTCGCTCGAGGGAGCGCAACGGATAGTATTAGTCGGGAAAGAGAGAAAACCATGAGAGTGCACTAGAGGGTAAAAAGGGGATAGAGGGGCACGTGTCTAGTCGGTATACTATGCGGCAAACGCGAATCTATGTTACAGGAAAGCCGTAGATCTGGTTGAGTTAGGACGGTCGAGCTGGGACCCCTCTTGTAACGTAACTGTCTTGAGTCGGTTTCTCCACCCTATCCTTACCATTGCCCACTGAGTTGAGGGCCAGGTATTTCCACAATTTCTTACACCGGTCAGTCCACCTGAGTCGTATATTTCAACCCCTCTCACTATTTTTCCATATTTTTTTTTCACCACCCCAAACAATTATTCCCAAAACCCTCAGAAATTCACAGAAATCCCATCAATTTTTTTTTCTACTGTCCATTTTTTGGAAAATTCCTTCAATAACTGTTTCAATTTCAACCCAATTTGTCTTCAAATTTGTAAAAATATTTTGATTACACATTCTTCTTCACCGGTTGGAGCAATCGTTTTTCCAAAATTCCCATGGAATTTTTCGCATTCTCCTTTCTTCGTCACCTTGGGATAAATAATTTCTCTAGAGAAATCTCGAATCCCGGATTTTTCTTATTGAGCATCTGATGCTAATAAATATTCAGTCTGTGATCATTCGCTCACCATCAGCGTGTGAAATTTATACGAGACGAATACTTTGATTTCTCACTGGAATCGCTGGTTGAGGGCCATCAAACGAATGTATTATGTTCGTATGCAGAGTACAAGAAAAATTTTACGTTGGAGGATAATCGAAGTAAAATTCCCGGTCCATTCTTCATCCCATCTCACCAATTTCCTGATATTGCACTGTTTGCACTTAATCGGTTACATATTACATCCCTCCACCCCCTGTCCTCGTACTTCTCGGTACTCTCGTATTTTAAGTAAACTGCCGCTGCATCCCCCAGCGCCTAACAATTCATTACCATAATTGACATCGTTAACGTCGCACAACGTATACCTAAACCCTTGCCTCCGTTTCATTATTTCCCAGAGGGGATGAGTTTTATTCTGAGTTAATATGAATCCAAAGCATGAGACCTTCGAAAAGACAAGAAAAAAAATTGCTCAACTTTTCTAGTGATATCAGAACAGAGATAAACGCACCGAACGCACGGCAATGCGAATATTTTTTAATATCGCTGAGGGGGAAAAAGGAAAATAACTGAATGGAAATTTCTTTTTCGTCTTCCAACGGATGTACGTGGAGAAATGACAACAACTCGACTACGCGGCAATTTTCTACTCGTGTCATGTAGGTACGGGGACTTTGCCTCTATAATTTTTCCCCTGTTTCTCTTCTTTTCTTTTTTATTTACGCATGTCCTTAGGTTTCTTCAGGGAGGGGAATTTTTCAATATCGGATAAACGGATGCTGAGCACGAACCCGGGACCCATGGAGCGAGGAGGACTGTTGTTCGGAGGAATCCAGTCAATGGAGATAAATGGAGAAGGGAGGAGATTAGGTGCTTCAAGGAGGACTCGCGAATGTGTAAATTTCGAATTAAACAGAAATTGTTTATTTTTATTCTCAATGCGTGCAGCGGGACAAATTTAATAATTGTCCCGCGTATTTTCTTAGGAGGGATTTTTAGCCTGGCGTGATAAATTGGATAATTTTTTTTTTTTAATCGATGGCGGATAATTATTATTGAAAACAGGTATGAGGAATAAACGGAGGAAGAGGAAAGGATCGCGTGGGTTGAAAAAAATTGAGCACCAACGGGGAGTAATTAATCCAGTGCTATCCAGGTTGACCCCAATAACGTGCAATAAAAGAGATTAACTAGGACTGGCGAGGGTTAAGGGAGTGGAGTTTTTGTGGAGAAACGAGAAATAAAATAGTTGGAGAGAAAGGTATGACCGGGTGTCTTGGGCTCTCGGGAAATGGCCGTGGGGAAAGTTTCGAATGGGGATTTCCCCACAGGATTATTCCCTTTTTTTTCCCGCCTTTTAATATCGCGAAATAAAATGTGTGAATTATTATTTCAAAATGTGAAACACGATTTTTCATTTTTAACAATAAAATTAATGTCGCAGTCGTTAATTTCACAAATAAAACACCACAATTTTTAATACCCCACATTTTTTTTTTCAAATGTCATCTCTTTTTTTCAAGGGTTGTTTCCCGGATATTCGGGGAAGTATCTATGAATAAAATTAAAAGACCGCCGATGTGGTTCCGCGATTTCGCGAGAGATGGCGGAGGTGGTATCTCCAGCTGATTAGAAATAATGTCTTCAATTACGATTAGATTTTCGATAATACCATAAACATGCGGGATTTTCCATTTTAATTTTCACTCCATCAAGGAATTTCCCAACTTCTCCAGAGCTTTCCAGCTGTATATTCACCTCCTCATCTTGGCAATAATGAATTTCCTTTCGTTTAAACATTTAAAAAACCGTTTTTGATTTTTGAAATATTATTTGAAAATTGTAATTATTAAAAAATGATGCATTAAAGAGGAATGTCAAAATGGTGAATCGTTGTGGAGTGATGGTGCGTTTTAACGGGGATGTTACTATTTCCGTGAACCAATAGAATTCCGTAGACAACTGGTCGTCTGTACACAAGGGTCAGAGGGTAGAAGGGAATTTCATAGAGTGGTAGACTAGGCTCAGTGGCGTCTCACGCGACTTGCTAGACACCTAGGCGCCATAATGTTTCCGCATTGGCCCATTTCGTCCTCGTGTTGCATCGGTCGATGCATCCTATTTCGTGGTTCCCACCACCCCACACCACCCACCGGCATATATATCATTAGTACAGAAGCAAACGGATACCATGTTTGTGATTCCACTGACTGGACACTGTTGCGCGATTTATCCCCCTTCTCTTGTCGGCTATGAAAATCTGCCCGAGCCAGAAATAAACTCACCAATTTTCCAACTCGCTATTCACCACATCCGGCAAATATAAATCCACGAGGATATATCTTCTTTTTTTGTTTTTATTTCATCGCATTTTCAAATTATCTGCAAATCCGATTTGCTGGGAATCTGCGTGTAATTGCGCAGCCATGCTTAATTTATCTGCTGTTCTAATCCCCTGAGAGATTGATAAATGATTGGGGAGGGTGAGAATGAGAAATTGATGAATTGGTAGTTGAAGCATTTTTTTGTTGCTGTTGTGGTGTGTGAAATGAAATGAGTTGAACCGATTTTTGGTGCTTGAGGCAGGAAATGTTTTTTTTTTTTTAATTGGAATGTATTTTTTTTTCTGGACCTGGTGAAAGGAAGGAATAAAATTGTACGTGTTTCCCATGAGTTTAGCGCGAGCGTCTGGTTGTCATGCCCTTCATCCTGGCGTAGCTTACGTACCACCGGTGCGCATAGGTCACTTGCATATATCGGTACGACCTGGGCTTATTCCCCCGAGAACACGACACGACCTCTCTCGTCTCTCCATCCTCATCCTCATCCTCATTCACTTGCTTCTCATCCTCTGTTATGTACTCGGCAGTGCCATGGCCCCGGCACATGTACCCGATGCACCCATACCGAAGCTCACTTTAATAAATTTACCAAATACACCCCACAGTCGTTGAATTATTTCATCTGGACTCTCTCCGGAGTTGAGAATTATTTTGCAGGCCCTTCGGAGGTTGGAGCAGTCTCCGGTGAAAAGTTTTCGACCTCTCCCTCGGAGCGACTCCTTCATTGAATCAAAATTCTGTCATTATTTATTCTACACCACGCGTATCTACTCCTCCCCTCATTGTCAACATTTACCAAGGGATTTCACTCGATGACTCGATGATTAAATAAACTGGACAATTTTACTAAACACAATATGCATGAGACAGTAACAATGACAGCGTCGAAATAATGGGCTCGAGTGGCCGAACTAATAATTAAACCGCTGCTTCACGTAATTATCATCATTATGGTGATGAGTCATTATAATTAAATGAACGTTTGCATCGCGAGATCATCTGTTAAAACATCACTCATGAATGCTTGCATTGCAAATACTCATTGTATCCGATTATTTGGTAAGTTGTATCATCGATTGACAGCGACCCGTACCTTTCCACGCAACTTATCAATCGATAAAAGATTCATTTAAAAATCAAACAAAGTGCAGATTATGTACGATGACGAGGGTGATTGTTGAGTGAATTTATCTGGAAAATGTGTATTTTTCGATGATAAATATTAGCTATCGATTGAGCTGCGAGTGCGTTCCTTTTAAATCAGAGTCACGATTCGCTCTTTCTGATTGCGGTGAGAGCTTCACCATGAGGTGCATTCTAATTTTCTGGGTGCTTCTCGTTGCCCTCGATGGTACAAAGAGTTTGGAGAATGCAAAACCTTGTTATCCAAGTGTCTGCAAATTACCAGAATGCAAGTGCAGTACCACAGAGAGCGGAAGTGCGATTCCAACTTCTAAAATACCGCAGGTCAAACAAAAACTCTCACGATATATCACAAGTCCTGGACTGAGACAACAATTTGCCATTATAATTATTAAAAATATTGATTGCAGATTGTGATGCTGACGTTTGATGATGCAGTAACACCAATCACGTACGATTACTTCCAGAAGGCACTGTTTGGTAGGAAAAATCCTGATGGCTGTCCAATTGGTGTTACCCACTTCCTGTGCCACGAGTACACGGATTACGCTAGAGTACACGATCTCTGGTTACGAGGACACGAAATTGCTCTCCACTCAGTGACGTAAGTCGTGAATAATTCTTGTTATTACAAGCAATAAATCATGATTGACGATTCACAGACACACAGTGGAGGATTATTGGCGAGACATAAATCTAACAGTTTTCAAGTCTGAATTCGACGACATGAGAACAATCATTACGCACTTTGCTGGTGTACCCAAGAGTTACTTGCGGGGACTGCGGGTGCCGTTCTTGGAGCTATCTGGAAATATTAGTTTTCAGGGGCTGAAGGAACTTGGCTTGATATACGACAGCTCAATGCCCACAATAAGGTACACTGATCCAGCTCTGTGGCCGTATACCCTGGAATATGCCAGTCATCAGGATTGCATGATAGAGCCATGCCCAACAGCTAGCTTTCCCAACGTCTGGGAAGTACCCATGATTATGTGGAAAGACGAGAAAAGCATCAGTTGCAGTATGGTCGATGCCTGTGTCAACATGTAAGTTATTCTCTATCGATTCACTAAGTACACGTACACACATTCCCCCAACAGTGGTCGAGGGTATTCATTTTCTTTTATGACTCTCGGCTCTTTTTTCTCAACACCTCTTTATCATCTTTATCTCAGTGAGATATCTCTCGTGAAATCTTTTTCCCGAGCTGTTGCCACCCACTTCTGCCATCCAGTTGGGTTGTAAATAATCACCGCAATAATAAAAATCCATTCCACATCTCCACTCAAGGGCAAAATTGTCGAAGAAACTGGTCATTAAATCCTATTGTCGTGGGAACAATGCCACGATACTTACTATTAATTGATCCCGGTGAATTGATAATTAATTACAGCTATGAGATCCTCCGTCTAATTGGTATAAGCCGATGCTGGCACACAGGATTCATGAATAGTTTGACCATTGTGTTGCATCTCAGTTGAACGGGGTAGGGCAAATGTGAATCAGTCAAGCACGCTCGATTGAATCCCAGTGTTTGGTGGGAGGCGAGAGGATGGTGTGGTCAGGCCGAATGTCCACGGGAGGTGGGTTGGGTACACCCGGGGATCTCCACTTCTCTACGTAGGGATTGTAATTTGGCCCGCGGGCTGTTTCAGACCCAAACAGGCAGAGCCGCTTTCCAAATGGTTCATCAGCCAATTCCAGCGACACTACAACAGCTCCAGGGCACCCTTTCCCGTTTTCATGCATGCCGCTTGGTTTACGAGGAGTCCTCAGTACTTCAAGGCTTATCAATTGTCAGTATGAGAGTTCCAGTGAAATTTCATTCTGTCATTTTCAATTCACTATTCAATATCGTTATTCCAGGTTTATCGATTATCTCCAGTCACTGCCTGATGTTTATTTGGTGACCGTTGATAAGGCCATCGAGTGGATCAAGAATCCAAAACCCCTGGGTATTAAGAAGCCATTCGGTGAGTGCGAGGTCAGAATTCCACCGACCAAGTGTGTCCCCAGGAGTTGTGGATTAAAGACAGCCAGTGGTGACGAACGCTGGATGTCGTCGTGCGTCGGTGTCTGTCCAAATCGTTATCCCTGGCTGTATAATCCCTTTGGAAATTAGAGATGGCACATTGCCTGGGTGAAGGTATTACGCCTCATTATGACGCGCTAGTGCCATGAAAACCTCGAGGATGAAAGTAAATAAATAAATTGCACTGAATTTTCTGAGGTCTGTACATTTTTAATGGCATCAGAGGCTTTCACAAAGATTGGAGAAAATCTCAGTGTGGGGTGGCATTAGAGTGCTACCTCTGAGAGCCATTGGCCACGCGTAAGCCACCCATATTCCCCTACCTCTGTCCATTGGTCGTATAAGGAGGTAAATCTTAGGTTGGCTGAGAGACACCAGGAGGTGGATGGCAAACTGCTCGTCCACGGCATTACGGACATCGTCCTCTGTCGCGCTAACCCCAGATACCTCCACTCCCCCTTCCCACCTGCTAAGGCCGCACATATCCGGCTGCTCGTAAAGTCCGAACCCAATTTCTACCGGATACCATTAGCGGGCCCATTAAACATTAAACGACAAGGGAAAATGTAACTTGAATCTCACCAAACGAGCCCGCAACGTCTAAACCCCTCATCCCCGCGGAATTTCGTTCGGGTGTCGTTAGTCCCTGTGAATTTTTCGAGTATCGCAATTAAGGTGTTAATTATTGAGCGTTGATAGTTGACCGCTGGGAGTTTCCCACCGGACAACAGAGAGAACTTTACACTTTATAGCCATGTGTAATCACTAATTTCGCTTTTTTACTGGCTCGAGGTATTCCCATCATCAAAAACGCAAAAACCCTTCATTCGAATTGAGTAGAGATTCATAAATAATGAAAACATTGTTGCGTTTGGATGATCCATATTTTTTTTTGTGAGCTGAATACAGATCTAATGGTCTTCACTGAAAAAAAAAATATCAGTGTTTCGGTGGTTCTACGAGTGAGAGGAGTTATGGAATGCCGGGGATCCCTGAAGAATACGTTCCCAGAAGAGAACAGTAGAAAGAAATTTATACAATGGGGATTTCACGAAAAAAAAACCTGCGTCTTACATCGATCAAAGAATGAAATCTCATAAAATTAGCGAGCTAGAAGTTATCGTCTATCCACGTGAATCCGTCGTTTACCAATATTCGGTCTTGCAGAAAGCTCGAGTAAAGGAGTGAGGCGACACACACATGCTCACATTGTCCCAATATGCTGAAGAAACCCGTAAGAAGTTGGATGGAACGTATATTCCAGGGTCGAGTGAACGAACCGAACCCCCGAGAACACGAGTTTTTTCGTCGTTGAGTATATAGATGGATAACTGAGACCTCCGGTATTCGGTTGTCTGGGTGAAACTCGAGAATTCATATGGTAATGCTGGTGAAAATGCCGTTGGCTGAGTTTTTCCTCGTTCCTCAAGATCTTTAATAATTTCTCCCCTGCCTTCAGTTTTCATCCCATTTCGTCCGAGTCTTCAGGTAATGGGGATCTATCCTCTCTCGATATCTCCAGCCTTTCGTTAAAACCAACGGTGAGATTTTTCTTATTTATCTTCTTTTTTTTTTCCATCGTCTTGAGAGTTATTTGAACTGGAGAGACTAGCGTTTTCAAGATCAATCTTGAAACTGAAAAAAAATAAGGGATGCGCGCCTATGGACGATGAAACCAATTCAGTGGAAAGCCAATTATGGGATTCCCCGGGGGATCGCCCCTGAAGGGGATACCTAGGGCCGAGACACGTGGATATCGTGAATTAAATATTCATAATTCGATTGAACCGATTAATCCTCATGGGAAGGGTTATTTTTTGCGTTTGATGGGACCTTTGGTGGTTTCATTGTCATGCAGGTCACTTTGGGAAAAAAAAATCAGGGACAATGGACGGAATTAAAGATGAGGTGAATGAAAAATTGATTTTCAATTTCAAAGAGAAAGAAAAAGAAAGCTCCAAGTCGTATCCTATTTTTACTCGTTTGTTTTTCCCCTAAGGATCATATCGACGGATGACGAAATGGTAAGTAGACACTGGGATGTTTTCATGAGTTCCATGGGACTTGAGCCTAGTTTTTCTCGGGATGGGAATAGGTGGGTCATAAACCAGACGAACGGGACTCCCGTAGATACACCGGGATATGAGGGCGTTGGGGACGAGGGCGAAAATAGAGAGGATCCGAGTGGCGAATATTGTTTTGTAATGGACTCTTAGCTACTTTAGCGTTTACGATCCGTTGTGTCTCTAGGCCCTTTATTTTTTGCTGTATTACTCTATTACTGAAGAAAAAAATGGGAAAGCTTCGATGGAGTAAAGACTTATGGCTCTTGGGGAAAATTGCTCTTTCCCGTTGTAGCCCGTCAGAATGAACAACGTATGACTGTTGTTACGCCATTACGAGTGTTGGATTGGGGGGAGATGATGGTTCTGGTATAGAAGAACTTTTTGGTCTGTTGGATGCTGTTAGTTGGGGGTCAGGGGTGGTGAAATCATTTTGAGTCTCGTATTTTCTGAGCATCGAACCCAGCCAATTTCCTTGGGAAATCTTGGGGGCCAAATTGATTGAATTTCTCTGCCATTATTTCATAGGCACGAGATGAAGACACTGTGCACTAGTCCTCCTGATGTTTTCTCGATCGTGGATGTGGCGTATAAAAACTAACAACGTTAGGACTCACTATTACCGAACAAGATTGCCTTGAGAATAGCTTTGCGCGGTTGTTACCGGGAAAATACAGGGGTTCTCTATTGGATTCGTTATTGTTAATTTATCGAATAAGGGCTTTCTGTTTTATACATAAATTACTGTTGTGAGATGGGGGTTAATGAAAGATGGGAAAGACGCACCAACGCAACAGGAGAAGCGAAAACAAAAATTGACGAAAAAAATCCTAATATAAAGAGGAGAAAGGTAATCGATCTCGAAATATCTCCAAATATCTCCAAATATCGTAAGACAAAATCGACCTACCACCACGAAAAAAGCACGCGCGGACGATCTTGTTAAAATAAAAGAAGAATATTAATTCGTAATTTGAAAAATGCAACGGGTTAATTGCGGACGTCATGAAACTTGGGTGTATCATCGATTTCCGGGTTTAATTACGTTAACTTTCTCCCTGAGCGTCGGAAGTTGATAATTTGAGGGGAATTTGAAGGGAATTTGAAGGGAATTTGAAGGGAATTTGAGCGTTGGGTGGCTGTTGGCTGGCCACGAAACTCTGGATTAAGTAAATTTTTTGGAAGAAGCGCACGCACCCGTGTACTTGTTTCGCCTGGAGAAGTTGGATTTGGAGCCAGGTCGGGATGGGGTGGTTATATACTGTGCCTTAACTTCACGGTTGGCGCCACCAAGGCGGACCACCGGGCGCCGCGTGGACGCCCGTGACTTCGATCCGCGTTTTCCCACTATGACGGAGAAAGGTAATGGATACGGTGTGAGATAAAACAAAGGGAGAAACCAAGTTGGCGGTATAAATGCCACTGTGAAAATGGAAATGGGTGAAAAGTACTGGTGCCTGTCAAAATGGAATTAGACGTCGGCCCGCTGGCTGGATTTGTTTAAGCCAATTTACCCCTTTGCACTCTACATTCACCCCCCTATTCCCGATTATTCCTACATCCCTGATACACCGTGTAATTGAATAAATATTGTTAATCTAAACAGTCAAATCCCTCCTGGAAAATTTTCCAAAACCCCGGCCCCCACAATTTTTATATCTCCGAGGGAAAAACAAAAATTAATAGCCGTTGTTCTCAATATCAAGAAGATGGTAATCTTCAGATTAAAAAATTCTAGTTTCCACCGAGTACTCGTTCAATAATTCAAAAGAGCGTGTACTCAGAATTTTCGCTGACTATTTTCGTTTTTCATCGGATACAATAACTTTGGAGAAGAGCTCAGGCAAAAACAACTTATCGAGGGGACGGAGGGTGTTTTTATTTTTTATTTTTCATTTTTTTTGCGGAAAAAGGAATATGAAAATAGGGATGGTGAGTTCATGTATTATTTCGAGTTCAATTTGTATTCCGTCGGGTGAGGCTCGTTGTCGCACCACCGCGGTGGCGGCCACACCACTTTTACGACTCGACTGCCATCCACCCCCTGCCCCGACTCCCAACCCCCCTTCTATTTCATCCTACACATTGCCGACCCCTTTTTTCGTTGCTCTGCGAATTTGCAGAAACATGCGCCCACCTGGAGGGTGGAGGTTCAACGACGACGAGACGGTATTTTCCAATGGGTGTACATACGTAGACGAAGTAGCGTATGTAAATTCGTCACGTTGATTCCACCCAGAAGACGGCCATTTTTTTTCTCTCGTCGAGTCGGGCATAAATTTACGAGAGAGTACATAAATAACACGTGGTATAATAGTGACGTTGGCATGCAACACATGTATGCGCAATTGCAGTGGATTACACGGTACGTGCGCGTACACTTTGTATTTCAACCTATCGACTCATTATTTGCTCAGGTGTTTACTTTGTCCAGTGATGACTGCTGTCCCATGTCGATAAATTGAGTAGATAAAAATCCCACCCCCAGTGGGGGTTGAAGTGCCGTAATATTTAGAGCGGTGGCGGAAAAATTTCATTGGCCCGAGAGAAATTTATCTATTCATTTTCCTCAATGCTGATTCAACTCGATTTTTCGCGCGAGATCAAGTCTGACGAAAAAGAAAAAAAAACCGTTTTTTTTTTGGATGAAAAATAGAAAGAGGCGAGAGGAAAGGCATCCCGAGGGAATTAAAGCGAAAGCTCGTCGTGCAGATATGCCGCGTTAATAAGTTGTTCGTCATGTGAATCAAGTTTTCAAATGGAAGATGAAAACTGGAAATTCAAGACACTGGGAATGGTGAGCACTCTTGGACGCCACCAGCTCCTTAAAACTTTGCTTATTAAACCACGCGCTCTTCACTCGTGTTATATTCGACTGCGGCATGTGCAGGGCGGCAAGATAGGTCGAGGGCTGAGGTTAACATGAAATACTTATCATCTTGCCTGCAACAACGAGACGGTACTCGAGGTGAGGGAGCCTGCAAACTTTGTCTGCCAAAAGGGCGGCTATTTCACTAGACTTCCTAATTAAATCGTTCAATGTCCATTTTTTCCTCCGTCCTTATTGCGCGTTCCCCTAGGGAGAGAAATTACCGCAAAATTTTCTCGAAATTTCACTACTCGAGTCCCAA